GAGGACCATAGACACAACGGAAAAGCTTTTTGGGATTAGCTAATGTACATTTATTTTTTACTCCATGGCTCACAGGTTACGGTTTTTGCCCTGTTCTGCTTGATTAGAATGTAACATTCAGTTGATTTCTCTGCGATAATAATAATAAACTTAAATAGCGTTCATATCAAAATTGCTATTTCATCAGCGAAAAAAAAAAAAAAATTGAGCTACAAAGTAAAGAGGCTTCTACCATCCACATCTACCTCCTTCGCAAAGACCAGTCAGTTTGAAATTAAACATTAGGTTTTTCTAAAGAGCTTTCCATTAATTTGGTGGAATTAGCTTAATCTACTGGATGGACTTTTCTGAGCAATCAGGTCTAACCAAAAAAAAGGTAGTACCCTCTTTGTAACTTGATTTCTAATTCAATATACAAATTCTGTATTTCTTAAGATTAACAGTTGCACAATTTTCCAACAGTGATTACTGGTAGACAACTACAGCACAACTGTGCTGTAGTTAAAATCAGGTAAAAATAAATTCAAACTTTTTTGAAAATAAACTTTTTTTGTGTAACCCTTTACACCCTAACATCAGTGTCCACATTCTCCATCCCCTTCTATATACATTTCCCTTAGTGCTGACGGAGAGAACATTTTTGTCCATCAATCAAGAGCTTGTTAAGACCTACAGTGATTATTTCTTTTATTCTCTTGACCTTGATGTTTGATTCAGGGGTGATATTGTAAGGAGTAATTGGATTCTAGTCACTAATAGAAGTCACAGGGTTAAAAAGGATCATAGGAAAGAAATCATATTCAATTTACCGTAGTTTCAATTGAAACCATTTTGTACTCTAAATTAATTGTTTTTAAGTACAAAAACGACACTGTATTCCATTCACCTGATCAGGTATTCTGATGTGATAAGCCTCTAAAGCTTTTTGGAGTTCAGTCTTATCTAACAGCCCATCCCCTGATTGGTCCATCTTTCTGAAGTGTTGTCCAAGACCCATCATTGTTTTGACAGCCCTTGTTTGAAGTTGTTTCTTGACCATACCTTACAAGAAATAAATCGTATGATAGAATTGTCAATGGCTGGTTAATCATAACTCCCCCCCAACTTTAAGGAAAGTGTGTTTCAACATCAAGGAAATTATACCTGTTTGGTATCAGAATAAAGGATTCTAATGGTGTCTTAAAAATTACAGATTGAAGGGAATAAGATGGCCCAAAAACTAACCACCATTCATGTTTATCTGTGCAATGCTGGTATCATGGTGATAGATGTCTTAGCACTGATACAGCTGTACCTGGTGTACTTTTTGTAACAGTTCTAAATATTTCTGAGCAAAGACCTTAACCCTTTAAATCAAGTGAGTGACCAACACAGAATTCCTCCTTACATTTATTTATCAATACATTATCAAGCAGCCACTAGACGAGAATAAAGAACAGTGTCAAGTAGGTGATGATTAGTCAATCCAATACCAAATTCTCTCAACTAACATGATAACAACTGTATGGCAGAAATTAAGGAGAATTACTAACGAGATCTTGGGAGTGCAAGGGTTGAATACAAAGAGGATATTACATGGCCGCGCGGGGATACAAATTTTATCTTCGAGTGCTGAAAGTATCTCTCACGAGTGAGCGCAGCAAACAAGTGAGAGATACTTTCGGCACGAGAAGATAAAATTCGTATCCCCAAGCGGCCATGTAATGTTCTGTTTATTATATAGATACTGATGAAATTTCCACATAAAAGACAACTTTTTTTATTCATTTTTGAAACAGCAATTGGGTAATTATGTTGGTAACCATGGCCACACCAATATCCTCACACGTGAAAGATAAAAATAGTATCTTCACTGA